CAGCGGGTACCCAGATGAAATACCTGCCCCACTTCAGTTCTTATTTGCTTACTGGTACCTGCACCCACAAGGAGTCACCCTGCTGCCGTACATCTGGTCACCAGGTACTGGAGATTCTTGCAGTCATCACTTCCTTTCCATGTTCAAAGCTAAAGTCTTAGTTCTAGCCTTCATCCTCTCCTTTCTGATCATTTGCAAGTGTCTCTTAAATGATGAGTACTTTAGAATCATTGCTACGGTCTGATGGTCTCCCCCATATTCTTATGCTGAAATTCTAAACCCAATGTGATGGTATTAGATGGTAAGGTCTTTGGGAAGTGATGAGGTCATGGGCAGAGCCCTCATAACTGCGATTAGTAACCTTATAAAATAGGTCCCAGTGAGATCTTTGCCACTTCTACATAACAAGCAGCGATCACCTATAAACCTGGAAATGGGCCCTCACTAGACACTGAATCTGCCAGCACCTTGATCTTGGACTTCCCAGCCTCCAGAACTGTGAGACATAAATTTCAGTGGTTTATAAACTACCTAGTTTATTGTATTTTGTTAAAATAGCCTGAACTGACAGTCATCTTTCTAAATGCAAAATGATTACATGTTACTTCCTTCCTTAAAATTACCCTATGACTTCCCTGTCTGAAGTTAAGGTCCACACTCCCTTATAGCTCTCAAGGGTAGTCAGCTGATCTCTCCCCACCACTCTTACTGCAATCGCTTTGCACAATCCTGAAATTCCAGTCTGCAGCATAACCCTCCACCTAACTCTCTGAGCTGCTACATGCCTCAAGACCACTGGCTCTTCTGGTTTTTCTCCTCCTATGAAGATTACATCACTCATTATTTATTCAACAGACATGTACTGAATTCTGCATTAGTATACAACAGTGGAGATGGATACTACCTAGCCTCAACGAGTTTATAGCTTGGGGACAGAGGATATTAAACAAGTAAGCTATAGGGTAGGGAATGGGACAGAATAATCTCCCCAGGAAGTAACATTTGGGTACATCTGCATTTTCTTACACTATCATCTCCTACTTCTTCACAAACTTATTTAGAAGTGTCCCTCCCCCTGCTTTTTGGGGGGCATATCTGAGTTTTAAAATGGCTTATGAGTTAAGATTTTGTCCTGTATTTCCTCTTTCTAAAATTCACAGTCCTAGCAAAAACCTAACCAGATTTCAAAGTCAGCATTTCCTAAGCACCCCTACCTCAGCACAGCCACCCTACCAGGCCGAACTGACCTCTCCCTCCCTCAGGCCCCTGGATACAAGGCTCCAGTTGACATTGGGGCACCCTAACCTTTCCCAGCCTAGCTCTGAGCAGCTTCTGTATGGGCTGAGAATCCCTAAGGGCAGGAATACCACCCTTCCATCTTTCAATCGCCACCAACACAGTACAGGCACACAGTAAAGCCTTACATGTTTAAAGCACAAAAATTCATTTTTTAAAGGTAAATTACTTAGTACACTAAGCATAAATTTGTATAAACTTCTTGAATAACAATTGTGCAATATCTGTAAAAACTGTAAAGGGCTGGAAGTACCATTTCTAGTTAAGGTTCTACAGAAATCCTAGTAGTGGGCATAAAAAAGCATGTCCAAGGATGTCTTGGCCATCAGCAGACACTGGGGAAAAAAATTATGGCACATCCTACCATGGTAGAGCCCGTCTCCAGTAGTTAGAAAGAGGAGACAGAACTCTCCATACCAATATTGAAAGATGTCTATAAATTGTAGGATGACAGTTAAAATCTTGCCATGCATTTTTTTAAAAGAAAAAAAAAGTATGTGCTCACAGCACAGGGAAAAAATTCTAAGATACACCCAGACACTTTATTTCTGAGGGAATGAGGCTAGAAGCAAAGAGGAGAAACCACCCATTTCTAGCTTAAACTTCCTATTACTGACTTTGTTAGAATGTGATGTAATGTGTTTTAAATTTTATTTTTATTTATTTATTTTGAGATGGAGTCTCACTCTGTCACCTAGGCTGGAGTGCAGTGGCATGATCTTGGCTCTCTGCAACCTCCGCTTCCCAGGCTCAAGCGATTCACCTGTCTCAGACTCCCAAGTAGTCAGGATTACCCGTGCCCGCCACCATGCCTGGCTACTTTTTTTTTTTTTTTTTTTTTTTAAGTAGAGATGGGGTTTCACCATGTTGGCTAGGCTGGTCTCAGCCTCATGACCTCAAGTGATCCGCCCACCTCAGCCTCCCAAAGTGCTGGGATTACAGCCATGAGCCACCACGCCCAGCCGTTTTAAATTTTAAACACAAACACTGGCTCAGTGGCTCATGCCTATAATCCCAGCACTTTGGAAGGTCAAGGTGGAAGGATCCCTTAAACCTAGGAGTTTGAGACTAATCAGTGCAACATATTGAGATCCCATCTCTACAAAAAATACAAAAATTAGCCAGGTGTGGTGATTTATGCCTGTGCTACTCAAGAGGACAAGGGGGTAGGATCACTTGAGCCCAAGAGTCCAAGGCTGCTGTGAGCTAGGATTGCACCATTGCACTCCAGCCTGGGTGACAGAGCAAGACTCTAGCTCTTAAAAACACACACATTCACACAAACATAATCACTAAAGTAAAAAGGTATTTTTTTACATGAAAGTGTACATTATTTTACCAGCTTCTTATTTAGGAAACTGAAATATTTTTTAAATTTTGGGTTTTTTTGTTTTAAGCTGCTATATTCATAGCTTATTCACTGCTATATTCCCTACACTCAGAATAATAGAGCAGGCACTCAGTAAGTATTTGTTGAATGAAAAACTGCTGTACAATCATAAAATCAGTTGTTCAGAGGGGAAAAGTATCTAATAACTGCTTCACAAACTCACAGACACAAAAAAATCCCTTCAGAAAGTATTTTAGGGCTGGGCGTAGTGGCTAATGCCTGTAATCCCAGCACTTTGGGAGGCCTAGGCAGGTAGATTGCTTGAGCACAGGAGTTCGAGACTAGCCTGGGCAACATGGAGAAACTCTGTCTCTACAAAAAAATTTAAAAATTATCCAGGAGTGGTGGCATGTGCCTGTAGTCCCAGCTACTCCAGAGGCTGAGGTGGGAGGATTACTTGAGCCCAGGAGGCAGAGGTTGCAGTGAGCTGAGATCACCCCACTGCACTCCAGCCTGGGTGACAGAGCAAGACTGTCTCAAAGGAAAAAAAAAAAAAAAAAAGAGAGAGAGAGAGATTTTAACAGTTTAGCTCCCAACCTGGATGAGTTAGCATTTTTTTTAAGCAAATATTTAAAGAGCGAACTCTTATCACATGAGCAATCTTCAAACTCTCCCGAATTTGTCCAAAAAAGAGCTCCTTCCACATCAGTTTAATTCACAACCTGGAGTGTGGCACGTGGCTGGTCATAAATACAAATAATAAAAAGATACATAAAGCTTTAGGAGAAAAACACAGCTGGTCTAATAGAAGAAAATCAATAATGGGCAATGAGCCTTAATTATGGTCTATTTCAAAGTGCTTATTTCTGCAGGTAATTAACTTTTAGCTTGAACCAATGAGATCAACTTCATCTTTTCTTTGAAAGTCAACGCCTCTAACAAGCAGCCTTTTTATCTTCAGATCCTAAATGAATGTCCCAAAGATGGTAAGCCCTCCGTGACTGTTGACAGTGCTGATGGGAGAAATGAGATACCTGGGAGAAGGAACAACAAGCAAGGTTTTAGGCTTAAGAGACTTGGATAAAATCTCCAAGAAAAAAAAAAAGCCTTGAACAAACTCGAAGGTTTTTTTTATTTTTGTTTGTTTTTAAGGAAGATACAGACTACGTAACGAAATGTGAATGCACTTGAAAGAATTATTTAAATAAATAACTGCCACTATGGAACACAGCTCCCTCTCCCTGCATTTTCCTTCCCAAGGAAAGCACTTTAACAACTTGTTTCAGAACACGTGCATCCAGCAGTCTACTCAATTCTAAAAACCCACCGACTTCCTGGACTATTTTTTCAATCACTGTTTTTCATTCTAAATCTTCCTTTGAGAGGGTAATTTAGTCCCAACTAAGAAAACACAAGGGCCCAAATAGACTGTCACCAAATACCAGTAATATTTAGAGGAGGGAGAGGGGTTAAAATATTCTCCATCGAAGTAATGTAACTGGTGTTTAGCAAGTGTGCGATTGATGTAAATAAAGTAACAATCCTTTCAGACTGCCCTGCAATCTTTCTTCAACCCTATCGGTTCTTTAACAACTGGAAGTAAATTCTTCCAAGGTGTACACACACTCAGACATTTCTCCCACTAGCAATGATTGTACAGGAAAGAACGTTCTGAATTCATTGGGAAATCTCCACCAACCATTCACTTAGTAAACGTGTTACTCAAAGGGCCCATGCCCTGGTCTCTGCCCTCCCCTTCCCTCTTGAGAGCAGGGGTCCTGTTTCACATTTCTCGGTGACCACACTCCTAGGCATGAAACAGGTGCTCTGCAAGTGATTTTGCCATTTCATGGAACTGCACAACTCAAAAAGCAAAATCTTTGGAAACCATCTAAAATCAATACACGTGTTTAGTTTGGCTAGTAAACAGCTGTAAATTATGATTAAAAAAAAAAAAAAGGTTTTCCAGCTGAACGAATTGTACAGAACTTGGAAGCCAGCGTGAACCTGCCGCGAAGCTACTACTGTCTGGACTGAAGAGGCAGCTGTGCCAGAAAGGAACGCAGCCCATCCTGGGCTCCTGAAGGCAGGCGGCGGGGAGAATGGCGAGAGCCGCGTCCGAAGACTGGAGCTCGGCCGGGAGGAGACGGGTTGGACCCCGAGGGGCTAGGGGCGCCCGCAGCCGCCGCGCCCGGGAGGGGCGCCCGTTTCCTTGACAACCGCGCTAGGGCGCAGCCCTTCCTCTGGGCCGGGGGAGGGGAGAGAAAACGAGGGGACCCCCTGCGCCAAAGCGGCGGCGGCCGAGGGTGTCTCCTGGGCGCAGCAGCCGCAGGCCTGGCTCGCGGGGCCCTGTCCGCCCGCGGCCCGCGCCTACCGTGTATCCCCGCTCCAGGTCACTCTCCTCATAGCGAAAGGACGGGATGTAGACCTCCATGGCCGCGCCAGCCAGCCGGCTGAGGGTGAGTTGGGGGCGGGCTCACGGCCGCGGCCGCCGCTCCGCCCACGGCCGGGCCGCCCCGCCTCCCGCCCCGCTGCGCCCGCGGGGCCTTGAGGCTGCGGGCCGGACCCAGGTCCAAGCGCTGACCCGGCCGCTCCCGCGCCTTGGGCGTTCCGGGAGCCGGAAGCGGAGGACGCAGGGCTCCTGGCGCCTGGGTTTCGGGCCTAACGGGCGGTGGAGATCAGCTGGGCCCGAAGGAGGCGGGGCCAGAAAACCTGAGTCTGCAGAAACCGTGTGTGCGCGCCAACGCTCTGGGCGCCGGGACTGGGCCGCACCCTGCGCTCCCTTCCTTGCGGACTCTGGCTGGAGCTTGATTTGCAGTTTGCTAGACGCCACCATTAACAGATTGCCAGACAGCAAAGAATAGAAAGCGTGGCGCTTTTAACTTTTGTTTTGGTTGGTTGAATTTTTTTTTCCTCCCGGCTGTCATTAACAGCGGTGAACCATCCAGCTTTTACCAAGACTCTCCGATTTCCCTTCGATTCGAGGGTTAGCGTCTTCTGAGTTAGCCGTCGAATCTGAGAATTGTGTACCACAGGGGTCGAAAGTGAGCCCAAAAGTTGGCCAGTCAATAAGACAAACGCTCTGGCTTCACGCTGCAGTTCTAAAATGCCGCGTCTAACTGTGAAGTGCCTTTTAACTATAAGGGAAAAAATGGAAGACAAAAAAAAGAAAAAAAAAGGGACTGAACCCGCGCCTCGGACCAGGGCCTAGTAGCCTGAAGGTACCTAAAAGATAAAGTGTCCCAGCGGGGAAGCTTGATTACCACGTTAGTCAAGTAAACGTCGAGTTTCTTCTTTAGGTTAGCGCACCGAGGAGAAGAGAAACGTGGACGTGACTTGTAGATTACTGAGAAGTGACCTCAGCCATCCAGGAAAAAAAGTAACCAGTCAGCGAGCTTTCTTGGACCGTAAACAATTGCACTTAACTCAGTTTGTGCTTTAGTGCAGAGGACATTTCAACTTGGCAAACTCTAGAGTTTATGATGGGACCCTGAGCCGTGCAACAGGGATAAGGCAACTTCTCGTTTTAGGAACTTAACTGATGTGGACCCCTGTACATTAGTCTCATCTGAAGATCCGTCCTCCTAACCCAGCACTCATACATTTGCAGCTCCAGGATGTGCCCTTCTCTCAAAACTCCGTGCCTTAGCTGTGCCCTGTGACTACACACCTTTCTTTTACTTCTGGCCAGCACCTCCTGAGGTAACTAACCAGCTCTGTGGACGATAAGATATCTGAGTTCAGAACCCAGCTTGTAGGTTACCTTAAGCCTCTGGTGACTATACATTGTATGTGTGATTTATTTATCTACCCTACCTACTAGGTTTTATGGCAAGTATGCTTTTAAAAACTCGTCATCTCGTGATTGGCATAGTACCCAACACATAACTTACATAAGTACTCATCTTTACAAAACTAGTGGAATGCAGCAGGTACTATGCTTGGTATCATCTTTACAAAACTAGTAGAATGCAGCAGGTACTATGCTCGGTATCACATATTGTTGTCTCATTTCATCTCTATAACAATCACATGGCCGGGCGCGGTGGCTCACGCCTGTCATCCCAGCACTTTGGGAGGCGGAGACGGGTGGATCACCTGAAGTCAAGAGTTCGAGATCAGCCTGGCCAACATGATGAAACCCTGCCTTTACTAAAAATGCAAAAATTAACAGGATTACAGGGTGGTTACTCACCCCTGTAATCCCAGCTACTCGAGAGGCTGAGGTGGGAAAATTGCTTGAACCCGTGAGGCGTAGGCTGCAGTGAGCCGAGATCATGCCACTGCACTCCAGCCTGGGTGACAGAGCAAGACCCCGTCTCAAAAACAAACAAACAACAACAAAAAACCAGAACAAAAAACCAATCACATGAGGAAGTGTTATGTGAAATAAGAGGCAACATGAGTTTCAAAGGGCCTCCCACCTCAGCCTCCCAAGAATCCAGTTTTTAATATGCTTTCCATACTATCCTACAACCTGTTAGTAGCCTAGAAAATATATTTTGGTAATGGCATGGCTCACCCATTTACCTGTTAGACTTAAGAGGCAGAAATGTCCGTGCAGGTCTGATAAACGGTCCAAATGATATCCATTTGCTGTATTCCACTAATAGCTGTGTATAATTTACTTTTCCCTTGCTGAAAATGTATACAGACTATCAATGTGTGGGTGTGTTCTTGAGGGTCTATTAGCCCAGCCCTAAATGGTAATTGTTACGATTTCAGTTATTATAGATGGCATAATTCAGGCTCACAGAGAATGAGTAACTATGAAATTACTAGCTATTAATAAGAAGAACTAAATTTCTAACCAAATTCTGTGAGTCTTCCAGCCACCAAGGAAGGGGAGAATAGAGCACCAAAGTAAAAGAACATGGCAAATGTATTTTCCTGTTGTTCCTACATTATCTTTTAATCCAACTCTACAATCTGTAACAGGCCAGCTAAATATCTTTTCCTCAAAACATTAAAAAAAATGCATACTAAATACAAATATAAAACATTGAACAGTTAGTATCTATTACTAGAAGCAAACAATTTTCATGAGCAAAATAATAAAATTCTGCTGGAATCTGGGTATAAAATTCTTACACTAAAAGTACATTTACTTAGTATTGGGTAGAAATATACTTCAGCAAATTGAGATAAACTGCTCTAAATACTAACATATTGGAAGTTTTGACTATAATGTAAATCAAATTTATTATACATTCAGCATTCAATTATAAGATTAATACATCATGACAAAGTAAGATTTATCCCAGAAATGTAAAGATGGCTAAACATTAGGACATCTTTTGATGTATTTTACAATATTGTCAGATTAAAAAATATCTCAATAGATTCTGACAAAAATTAATGAAGCAGTACAACTATTCATACAAATTCTTAGACCAGAAGTAGCAAGAAATATATTTAATTTGATAGATTAATGTCTTAGTCCCTTTTCTGCTGATAGAACAGGATATCACAGACTGGATAATTTATAAAGAATAGAAGCTTATTTGGCTCAGAACCTGGGAAGTCGAAGAACATGGCCCTGGCATCTGTGAAGGTCATCTCATAGCAGAAGGGCAAAAAAGCATATGAGGGAAAGAATAAGGGGCTGGGCTCACTTCTTTAACAACCTGCTTTGAGAGAACATCAAGGGGGAAGGTTACATTACATTGAGAGAAATGAAGGCAAGAGAGAGGGGACAGGCATAAATTGCAGGATTTAGATGTGATGAGGTAAAAGATTTTCTATTTTCTGGTAATGAAGGAGAGAAGAAATGATAAAGTAGTGAAAGGAAGAAAGTTAAGTTTCAGAAATGATGACATTAATTTTTAGTGTATTGGCAGTTTTTAAAAAAGAATTACTTCAATATGAGCAGAAATTTGGAAAGAAACGCTATCAATGAGGATTGAATAAAAACATATTGTATACCTACACTATGAATAAAAGTTGCATTTAAAAAGACTGTTGTATAGAATTTTTTTTTTTTTTTTTTTTTGAGACGGGGTCTCGCTGAGATGCCCAGGCTGGAATGCAATGGCATGATCTTAGTTCACTGCAACCTCCGCCTCCTGGGTTCAAGCGATTCTTCTGCCTCAGCCTCCTGAGTAGCTGGGACTACAGGCACATGCCACCACATCTGGCTAATTTTTGTATTTTAGAGACAGGATTTCACTATGTTGGCCAGGCTGGTCTTGAACTCCTGACCTCAAATGATTCACCCCCGCTAGGCCTCCCAAAGTGCTGGGATTACAGCCGTGAGCCACTGTACCTGCACCGGGCCTGTTGTACAGGTTTCTGAGTTAAGATAGCAAATTGAAAATACATAACTAATTTCAACCTTCTAGCCCCAGTAAAAATGCAAGTAATTTTTCCCTTTTATTTTTTTAAACCCACAGAGATAGAAAAAACAGGAGAGGAGAGAGCAAGACATTTGTTGACTGAGAAGCAGATAGAAGGGAAGAAACATTTTTAGCAAAGGAGAAATCTCAATCTTAAACCAACAGCAGGAAAAACATAGAACCAACCTGAGTTACACAGCACAATATTCAAAAGGTACCACAAAAGGAACAATAGGTACCTCTAGAATCGAAGGTAATTGGCTAAAATAAGGAGTCTTGGTAAAAACTGAGAATCGGGAAGATCCATTGTTCCTCTACATCTGGAGAATGTTTCCTCTAGAGAGGGAAAAAGAAACACTCTTTGCACTAGAAGTTGACTGGCCCGCCGGGTGCAGTGACTCACACGTGTAATCCCAGCACTTTGGGAGGCCGAGGTGATTGGATCACCTGAGGTCAGGAGTTCGAGATCAGCCTGACCAACATGGAGAAACCCCATCTCTACTAAAAATACAAAATTAGCTGGGTGTGGTGGTGCATGCCTGTAATCCTAGCTACTTGGGATGCTGAGTCAGGAGAGTTACTTGAACCCGGGAGGCGGAGGTTGCAGTGAGCCAAAATCGTGCCATTGTACTCTAACCTGGGCAACATGAGTGAAACTCCAAAGAAGTTGACTGGCCCGGCTGAGGGCAGGGATACTTTTATCAAAAATAATTGGAGTCTGAGGGTAAGTGACCATACACATACTGAATAATGAATGCTGACACTCTATAAAGGCTGGCAGCCACACCTTTACCTGCTAGGCAGGCAACAGAAATGTATTCTCTGGGGGAATCTAATAGCCCAAGAGGAAAAACTTCAGAGATACCAACATTGAAAGTCCCCTACAAATAGTCCAATGTGATCACTCTTCAGTAATGCTCTAAATTAACAGGCCCCATAACTACATTCATTGCTTCCAGTCAGCTTTCAAATCCCACTGCTAATCATGAAGAGACATCTATGGAGTAAAATATCTGAAGAAAGCATCTAACATGGAAGAGATACCAAAATAGAAAAAACAATTTGGAAGAAACAAAAACCAGGAGGGGGAAAAAACTTAAAAAGTAAACCGGCCGGGTGCGGTGGCTCACGCCTGTAATCCCAGCACTTTGGGAGGCCGAGGCGGGCGGATCACAAGGTCAGGAGATCGAGACCACGGTGAAACCCCGTCTCTACTAAAAATACAAAAAATTAGCCGGGCGCGGTTGTGGGCGCCTGTAGTCCCAGCTACTCGGGAGGCTGAGGCAGGAGAATGGCGTGAACCCGGGAGGCGGAG